TGAGGCCGAATGTCGTCAGGCCCTGCAAAATATGGGAGCTGTTCTGAAAGCTGCTGGAGCGTCGTTTAATAACGGTAACGATATGGATACGTTTAAGTTCAAGTATGATTACGCAATAACAGCTATAAGAGCAAATGATTTTCAGCGACATTTCCTTCGTTTTTATATACGGATGTAAATCAGGCAATGCTTTTAATCTGTTTTATATTATTATAAATATGAATTCATCCTTGCGTGTTTTTGGACACTTAGTTTCTCTGTATTGCAGCGTTCTTTGTTTCTATATATTTTTCAATTACACCTCAATAGTTTTTCACTACCCCATGACATCTAGCGTCATTTTATTGGACAAATTAGTACCTCGTTCGTCAGCAGTGATTTTTTCAGTAGTCAGTACTCCTGTGTTTCCTCGAAACAGATACAGACTCATCTGCTGAAAGTATAATAGGCGAACGCTCCGTTCTCGTTTCTTCTCTCCTCTAGAATTTTAAACAGAAAGGCTTACCCACTGAGGCTCTACCTCATGCAAAAATAGCAAATATTTGTAGTCTTATATACCAGCAGTATTGCCAATTATACGCCAGACTGTCGTCATAACGAACCAGATGGAACCGTCAAGCTTTTTTTCAAGGATCAATGACCTTTCTCGACCGATCTTGAAAGATTGGTGGTGATTCGAGCGATAACTTGCCAGGTACCTAATGTTGTATGATTAACAGCAAGTGACCTGAATTGCACAGTAGATGGTCCAGTAGCATCATGCTAAACTAATGTTAATGTTGAGAAATACCGATAATCGAATTTCGCCAATTTTACTGATTGGAATGATTTATTTTTTTCGAAAAAATCTCATTTTTTTAAAACCTAGCATTCGCCTTTCATATATACGTAGTCTAACGTAGCGTAATTTAACAGTAGTTCGTTCTTGCTTACAATAATCCAGATATACGGATATTTCTTATGAGTTTTACAAGAGCATGACTAGTCAAAGCTATTAATTCTGTTAATTTCTGTTCCAATGATAATTCTTCTTTAATGATCAAGTGAAATCAGTCGAAGTTATACGTTAATTGATATTCACTTTTAGTTGTGAAGACAACAGTCCTGCTGTCAGATATTCGTACTTGGCCGATGGTCAACAAAGTTTATGAAAGTTGTAAGCGAATATTCTTTTTAATTTTTGGACATGCTGCATATCATTTGGCGTTACTGCTTAACAGATTGCTTTGCTAAGTAATAATTAATATTATGACATTAATTTGTTATAGTTTTCAAAGATCACTTTCCTGCAAGAACAGCATTCCAAGTGGCAGCTCTGCCAAAAGTAAGATTAGCGTGCGCAATCCTTTGTCTATTTGAAGGTGTATTTTAGGACGGTGCCATCGAGATAGAGGCAATAGCGGTGATCGGTGAAATGATTGATCTGAACCCATAGCCAGAGCCAGTATTTACATTAATTTATTGAAACTTCATACAAAGAAGCAAATAAAATAGATTTACCTACTGCACAGTAGACAATAATACACTGGTGGATAAAACGTGTTCATGAATAGCATACGCGTCTTGCACGCATGTTCTGTTCTGTGACGATGGATGGTGAACTAGTCAGCGGCTTTGTGTCTGTTGCGCAGAAGTTGACACAGATGAGACAGGGTCGGCACTGGCGATGCTTTCGGTACGAGGGACGAGCGCAGGGGCCGACATAATCATACCGATGGAAGGTATAGACTTAAGGCTCTGCCTTTGCGACGACACAGGTGATGACGTCCTGTTTCTGAAAACATGTAATAGCGGTAAACATTCGTTTAAAATAATCATGAACTAGACGAATTACATTAACTGTTGTGCGATTATCGTCTGAGAAGTGCCAGTTTGTTTGAAAGAGTGCATAGCACCGTACGTCTGACCAGCAGAAAACCTCACGGGTTGCGGATTAATCACATGCACTTGGCTGATAGATGGTGGTTTGCTTACGACGGCCTATAAGTGCAGAAAAATTAGCAAAAGCGAAATGTATTTGTCACAAAAAAAACCTGATTCATGCTGGCTATACTGGAGATACGCGGAAGGGCGACGCCTCTCCGATCCCCGGTTTGTGCGTGGATCGGGAGCTGAAACTTACTACGGCTGCTAAACATGCCGCGGCTCTGAAATAGAAGCTATGTGCTTGCTGGTTAGAGATTGGCTTAAGTTAAAGCGATGTGTCGAAACAAAAGATGTTAAATGGGCTACAAACTATAAACACATGGAACTGCTTGGCTCGCAGTGGAGAGTGATTACGTAACTTGCAGGAAATGGTTTAAAATGAGTGGAACGGAATTAGATGATATAATATATAGTGGAAAAATTGTATTTAGGATTTAGGACATCTTTCTGAAATCTCAAAGCATTTGTAGCACGTCAGCGCTATCCTTTAGTTTATCCGACGCAGTCAGTTATGTAACTGCTATAATTCAGTACGCGAAAGACTATCGTTAACGAACAATCCAGCTTCATTAACTATGCATCGCATTTGGTGATCTAATGAGTATCCTTCATCGAACAGTTTGGATTCAAGCAGCAAAATTTAAAGAACCTGAGTAACGAGCCGCTCGTTTTCGGTCAGCACCCGTTAACGAGTAAAATAGTAAACATGGATGAAATTTATACAGTACTTCTACAAACAACGTTGATATTACTTAGGATGTCCTGAGTATAAGTTCAGCCTGGAAGCATAAGTCAGTTTTGACAATGAAAAGATACGTTTGTAATAGAATTCAGTTTCCCACATTTCTTGAACCATTCTGTACAAAACTTTTATGTATATTGTACCTCATTTACTTGTTGGTATCTTTGTTTGGATGTTATCAATAACATTCTTTGACTAGATCTCGCATATATAGTAAAGCTATTAAATCCAATTTGAAATATATACTTTCAAACATAACGTTTCAACATATACAGTACCACTGGTTTTATCTTTCATGTCCTTTCTGCTAATATTTAATCATGGCATTTTGATCAGATATTATCCACCACATTGCCGTTTAATTACTTTATATTTTACGTACATCATATACTGATTTTGTTAGCTGAGTCAAAGCGAATTCCAGCAATAAAGCGCGCATCATATAACATCGTCAGAGTTCTTCTTGGGATTCTCTCCTCTAAAATTCTGATCCAGTATCCAAACTATCGTAATTGCGACCTCTCGAAAAAGGAATGATGCACAAGCGAGCGCCTTCTGGACTGCCGTGTTTTGGACTTTGTCTAGTCTTGTCACACCAACAATCTTTCGAAGAAGCGCCTTCAGTCACCTGTATTTGCAACCATGGTGCAGAGGTAAACATGCGGCGGTGACGAGTATTGATGAAAGGAGGTACGCAGGTAAACTTAAAGGTAGACCGGTTCACACTAGTTATTATTCATTCATTTAATTTTTATGACCGCTTCTAATTTCGACTTGCGGAAGCAAACGCATAATTTATGCAGTATATAGGTATGCATTTAGAGAACAGATTCTTTAACAGTTTTTATTTAAGAAATTTCAGAAATAAGCAATTCGACGGGTTTTTGAAACGACTTCCACTTAGCAGTGTATTTGCATTGGCAACATACAGTATCTTCGCTAGGTCCCTCATGCGCTATCACGATCACACCAGAACACAATACTATCAATATTGTTTACAGTTCATTAACCTGTTATCCGTCTCTAGGCTGGTTGGTTGCAAAGAAACACCGTAAGGTGAAGTTTTGTCAGCAAATAAAAATTGATGCCGCACTCGGATTGTAACCCGAACCTATTGTTAAAATCGATGGCACAAAAGAAGTCGGCTTCAAGCGTTGGAGCTGTCGGATTTCAACCTCAGAATAGAAAAAAAGGTTTTTTATCCGCTACGCAACGAATTCAACCCACGCGAGTAACGGGTAGAAGACTCACCTGCAAACAAGGACAGCATGGGGTTTCGGAGTGGTCACAAAAAAAGGGTGAAACGAGCGCATGATGGCTACAATTCACTTTAACTATCTGAGAGTTGATTATCCACATGTTAATCAGCACGGTATAAGTCCTGTTATTGTTGTACAATCGCTGCCGCAAAACTGTGTTAGAAAGCGACCGTGTAGAGACAAGACAAGTAGCACGTGAAAAGAAACACTTACTGGGGCTCCTGTATGGGAAATCGGCAACTTTTGCCTGAACTGACTTGTCTGATAACGAGCAGTCGGCTGGTGTTGCTTGGTCAAAGAAGCAAAATCCGGCGATTGGACGGACGACTGAACGACCACGGCTCCGAGCATGGCTGAATCTGCAGATGACGACCCGCTCGATACGAGCCCCGGGTCAACTGCAAGTGAAATTCGCGACGGTCCCGTAGCGCTGAATTGCAACGACGAAGTCGACGTAAGGATAGACGGAGAAGCTAGCTTAAAGATGCGAAATTTAATGTGAACAGAATTAAGTCACGGATTTCGATTCTAAATCGAGTACATCTAATTAACTGTCGTCTTCATCAGATTTGTTCTCGAAGACATTAATTTCTATGATCAAGTCAAAGAGGGAGGGGAACGAAATAGGGACAGGAGCTACGGGCAAAACAAAGTACGATTAATGCATCCGTAAGTCATACTAAAGCTGCGACAATTTATTAGGCATCAAGAAATGATTTGGAGAGGAATATATGCATTTAAATCTGAAAGAAAGTATTTGGAAACACTGGCACTTCTAAATCCAAAAAGCTGGCGTCACGCCGGCGTCATTCCGAATATAAGAAGGTAGCAAAGATGGAGTATCATCAGACTCGCAATCGAAAGATGGCAAATTCGAATCCTGGCAGTGTCACTTCTGCATCGTTCTCCTGAGGAAGACAAACGAGTGTCTCTTGATTAGAAAATGTGAGTCGTGCTATAGCCGCTAGATAATGCTTTGATAAATATGATACTTTTGGCTGGGGAGATCAAAATGGAAATCTATGCTACATGGCAAAAGGGTGGCGAATAAAAAAGGGTAATGCAAGCCGACATCTCACCGGTTACAGATTTCACCTATTTCCTCTAAGCGGAGAAAGAAAAGTGGGGCAACTACTTTCGTCCTAACATAATCAGGATTCGATGAAATCTAACAACTACAGGCATTTAAAGAGCAGATGAAACTTAGTGCTGATTTTCAACATCATGGTAAATGCTTAGCCTATGACACTAGCTTACCGCAGCAGTTCCTGACAGTCGCTGACTGGTTTTCACTAACGGGCTTTGAGGAATTAGCGGTCGATAGTAGCCAGGAACTGGAAGACTACCTCCGCCAGGAGATAACAGCTGTGCACCTACCAATCGCCCACTGGTACTGGAATTGCCTGCATAAGGTGAACACGTCAGATCAGAGAATCATGGTTTCTTCGTATACGCCTTGCTGTTACCGGAAACAGATGACATCGAAGTCGATGACAGTCGCTGCTGAAAACCGCTGTTGCTCCCAGATACCACGTGACCGGAAGCCGTTGCCATTGGTCCGGACTGTACGGTAAGAAAGGAACGAGCGGAAGGCAACGTCCTGCCTTGGTTTGTTTGTGCATTCTAAAACGCGATGTACAGTACCTGCAGTACATTAGTTTGAATGACGACCAACGTTACGAAAGTATTATATGCGCGTTAAAACAGATTATTGCACAGCTCCACCAAGACTGAATTTCACGGAGTACTGCACTGCCTCCTTGCTCCCAATTGTCTGGAGCGACCTCTTAAGCAGACCAGGGCTCTATGGTAATTAAGCACATGCAGTGCCAGACTGCACCTGGATTATTTTATTTGTTACACCTCACAATTGCGAACGACGTTTCAGGAGCTGGAACTCCTTATATATGAAGCGTAAACTTCGACATAGGTCAGATAACGCATAACTCGTCCAAAACCAAATTTAATGGAGTATCGCAGCCATCGTATTTTTCCACAGGGGAAAGGGACAGTACATTACGCGGCGAAACCTGGACTTGGATGAGTTATTCGTTATATGACATATTCCAACTTATGAAATTAACAAAGTTAGCTTGATGAGGGTTCGTGAGATGCTTACCGAAAACTCTGTAGATTCCCAGCAACAAAAAACGGTAAACAATAACAGCGAAATCTGCTGCGAGTATTTAGCCAATGAGCATGTTGCGAAAGGCAGTGTATCACTGGCGTTATTCGGCGTACGTGGACAACTTTTTATCCAAGGTCATAAAGCAGCAACAGTTCAACCACAAAATGATACTGGAAAAAGTTTTTGAATAAAATGTTTTACACGTGTCACTTATGATTGGTGAATTAATACGAGCTTGTACCATTTAATAAAAATTTATATGTTATTACAGCTTAGTAATACAGATTAACAAGAACCTATAACCAGTATAACATTGGCCATGCACAGATACATTGGCTATTATATATATATGAAGAGCTGATAAAAAACGTTTGAATACCTGCTGCTGCAATTCAATACTTGTCACCGACGCTCTGTCGTAGCCAGTGGTCATCACGTCTGCCGCCTAAACGACATGATAACAGCCGAAAATTTTTTAACAGCTCAAAACATTTAACGTCATAACATACTTGGCACACTGTTCTGGAAGAATACTGGTTTTGCTGTTGGTGCAGTTGCATCTTCTGACGTTCCCTGAGGCGTTCCTCGCGTAACTCCGCCAATCGCGCGGGTGTCAGCGTGCTGTCGTGATTCACGCCGAAACCTGCCAAGAACTGCGCATGCTTGTCCGCTGACTTACTGGAATTTACGGCATTTACGATACCAAATCCTTGAAGCAATTTGTATTAAAATACTATATCACGTACACGGGTATTTATATGAACATTAACACGCTGACTGACAAAGTATTGTAGTAGAAAATCAGTGTACGTTTGAGAATGTAAAGTGTATCTGCTGCTGTGCACTTCGAGTGTCAAACAACGCACATTGTTACGAGAGTTGATCAATTCATACTTGGACGTCTGCAATCCACACGTCTTAATTCCGCAGCATTGCTAAAGAGGTCAATACGTCGGTTGGCTAAGACGGAGAAGATCTTGCCACCGTCCTGCAGTAGCTGTTGCTGCGTTCGTAAACGACCTTTTTTGAACCGCGCTGAAATCGACTGCTTCGTACAAATTACTGGGCAGATACGAGGCAAATGCAACCTGAATCGTGACCATTCGATGGACGAGCTTTGCTCCCCACAGAGTCGTGCATCGTTGAAGAGGACAACGTGAGACGGGTATCTTCGCGTGGTAGAATTACGTGCTGGTAGCGCTGACTGCATTGTCGAGGTGATCGATAATGACCACAAGATGCTGAAACCCATTCGGAGACGAAATCCCAGTTTGGCGTATGGACGCAATTCGAAGACGAAGCAGATGACGTCACAATGCTATACGGCAGGCGTTGAGAGTCCATGATGATCTAGTAGACAATATGAATCAAATATGTTTATATGTATTTATGTTAATGTTTAGCGTGAAACACGTTTATCAGCCGAATACTCAAAGTGTGCTTTTTTTTCCTTGGACCATCGCATAAACTTACAGATAACAAGGCTAAGTCTTCAACGGTATTCCACTCAGGAAAATCACTTGATTTCTGTTCCAATGGGCTGACAGGACGACGACTGTCGCGGCGCCCCTTCACCTCCGTAACAGACTTCTGACGATACGACTTTGTAAAGCGCGCAGATGGGCTGCGGTTGCTGGTCACCACCGTTTCTGAAATAAACTAATAAATAAGAGATCAGTAAATAGAGCGTATTGAAAGATCTAAACAATTTTCGGCACTGTGTAGTCCTGGTTATGGCGATGCTGTTCCATCATTACGTGAATATATAATAAAGATTAGAAACATCGGTCGTCTGCAAGAGTTCACAGCCAATAAATTTTATACTCTTAATTTAACCCCTCTCAACTTCAAAATAAGTACGTTTTAGATAGCAAAAACATCATTTAATTATGGAGCAGAGCTACGATTATTGATGTGGCAGAAATAAGTTCAGGAGTAAAAGGCTGTGGGATATTCATTCGAGTTTAAAGCAATTACGCCATTATTAGCATATTCTTAGCGGAACAATATACGTTTACGATGTTTTACAAAACAATAAATAAAGTACCCGATTCTGATACATAACAGGTGGAGAACAAGGTATTACTCTGGCCAATAAAATGATGCAAAGTATATCGACAGTTAGAAGTCCAGTGCTAAAATATTACGAATCCGCAGCTCTGTTAAATAATCTGCGAAGCAACTATACGCATGAAGGCAATGACGTCGTCGTCTAAAGGAGCTCAGCGAAATTTTGCCTTTTTATCAAGCGCATTTCGTTTGTCATTTAACTACTGCATAATCTGTAAATTTAACTTATTTAAATCCTCCGAGAGATCAGGCATCGTTCCACGGTGGGGAGAAGAAACCGGCTGAAAAGAGTGGTTTTAGTCGAGCTTCCCGAAGAAACCTCTGAGTGGTCCAAGCCTCAGAGACCCATCACCTGGAACCGCATTCAGTTGGGATGAAGGGGAAACAAACGTGTTGACAAACGCTTGGGAAGTTAAAGCAGTAGCCAACACCATTTGTCAAGGTCGAATGAAACGCATAGCACTAACAGTAATAATGCCCAGTCCCTTACGTGCAATTCGAGCCAGATAACATCGCAATGACTGACGACTGACTGACTGACGTACGGATGACCGATGGAATTCAGTAGTGAAGCATTGGTTACAAAGTGCTATAAAACCCAAATGAAAGACCGGCTCAGATGGGACGAGAAGCTGAAAGAGATAATGAAGCATGTGGCGACAAATCGCACGAGACTGACGAGCGTGGGTGTCGAGACTAAACAGAGAAGATCCTCGTTAATGATGAAGAAGGACCAGCCTATTTAATTAAGTAGAAAATGCGGTAACTCAGTGGAATCTGCTATAGCTATAATACAACGAAGCCGAGCCTCTCTTAAATGGCTCTGTACGCCTGTCGAAGCACGAGTTCCAAGATTTGCCAATCGTAGCTTTGCATCAAGCTATCAAGAATACTGGCAGCTAGAAACAAGAGCACTTCTAAATATCAAAATCACAATAACTGCTTTCCGTACTTTCTGTCTTATTCATGTTCAGTTTATAATAATTTACGTTAACTTTCATTACGGCGATACTATAAAGTGCTCACTAGACTGTCAAACTACGATTTTCTCATATACTGAGATACAGTGACCGTGACAACTGTGTGAACTTAATAACATACTTCTATGCGTTATTCTGAACTAGAAAGATAACTGATCAAGGATCAACTAGTAGGCTGGAACTTGCCTGACTGACTCAGACGACGGAATGACAACAGGAAGAAAGAACGTTAGCAACGCCATTATGAAATCGGTGTCCGCTACATTTACATGATAGGTACCATTTGTGGCGCGTTTTTTATGGAGTTATGCCTTAAGCCAGGGGTGCCTTACTTCGAGGGCTATGCCTACAGCTATGTGGAAAGTGTAACATTTCTCTCAAGGTGATATCTTCTAAGTTGGAAGGATAAAAGATTGAT